TACTTGTGCAGTTGAATGGGTAAAGTTTATGTGTAAGTGTATCAATCTTATTTTGTCAGGGCCCCCTGAAATTGCAAAACACTAGCAGAAAATCTAGGATTTCATATTTTCATTTGATCTTGTCTTTCTGGTTTTAGAGTAGACAGTGATTTTCTGGTCCTCTTTAGTTTTGTACTGCATTGAGAAATGTGAAGGATACTTTGGCAAACATTATATCAGATAATTCCTCCATGATTTTTGATGATGCTCAATTGCGGAGAATAAAAATTTTAACACTATATATTTTTTTTCTTTTGGGGATCGTAACCAACAGTCACATACAACCTTAAAGGAGCCCGATTACAAGGTAGTCACCAGTTTGGTTGGGCTTAACTTCAAAAGAAGCTTATATGTTTTAAGCTATTAAGCCAGCGTTGGGGGATAAGCTGCATTTTGTAGCTTATTTTGGAGCTTATTCTGCTTTTTCATTGTTGCACATGTCAGAGCTTTTTTTTCCCCCTCTGACTTCAACTATATTAACACATTTCCTGAGTTTTTTTTTTCACATCTGACTCTCACACCTCTCCCACATCCTCCGTCATTTGTTTTTCACTTTTATTTTTTTTAATGTTTCACTTTATATCTAGATTATTCCTCTGATTCTAAATATAAGACTTTTTTTATAGTGTAAATTCTATCCTAAATATAAAACCTTTTTTGTAGTGTAATTACACTATAAAAAAGTTTTATATTTAGGACCAGAGGAATATTTTTTTATAATTTCTCTAAAGTTTTAAAATTTAATTCACTCATTAAATTTAACTTTTTTATATTAAATTATTTTAATTTCATTGTATTATGTGAAATTATTTTTTAATCATATTTAATTATTTATTAAAACTCATACCCATTTTAGTTATTTTACAACTAAACTTACTTTTATTCAACCATAATCCAAACAATTTTTTACTAATCTCATTTTTACAAACTAGCTTTTCTGAATTTTAATTCAAACACAATTCAGCTTATCCAATTTAGCTTTTACCTAACTTCATTTCTCCATAAGTTACTTTTTCAATAAGCTATTTTTCCAATCGCTGATCTAAACGGACCCTTTACGTTTTATGCTAAATATCAAAGTTGATATTCTTTTATTTTCTACAAAGCATTTCCTGTACGATTCATTAAATTATATAAAATTCATTATTTCTTTTTGTTATTTATGTTCAAATCCAACAATATTTTTAATAAAGACAAAAAAATGATGTCACGGTCTTCTTCCTTTTTTTTTAAAAAAAACTATTTTATTATGTTTTTATCTCCCTAAATTTTGAGGCCCAATTATAACCATTTTATAATTTAGTCCCTTCTTTTATTAGATATATAATTTTATTTTTCAAAAACACAAGGACTAAATTATAAAATATATAAAATTATAGGAACCGAGTTGCAGTGAGTCAAATTTCAAGGACTGAGTTACAATTGAGTCAAAACTAGAGAGACTGAGTTGCACCGAGTCGAAATATAGAGACTGAGTTACAAATGAGTGAAAAATATAGGGACCAAAAGATTAATTTTCCCAAGAAAGAATAAAGAAAGTGACGATACCGGAAAAAAGAGAATTAAAAAAAAAGAATAAAATTATGGGGAAAATTACTGTAGAGTCCCACATAAGAGAATTTACTATTGAAAGGTCCCATGAAATCATAAAATGTATATGAGGTCCCAAGAGACTTTATGGCAAAAAATTTCAAACGTGCAATTACTTTCTTGCCCTTCTGATTAAAGAAAGAAACTGAAGCACACGATTGAGAGAAAAACTCCTATCGATTGTCATCTTCATGAAATCCGCCGCCGTCTCGTTTGTGTCCATCCTTGTGTGCTCCGACAGCTTCAATCTCCGGCGAGGTCTGTCAGTGTCTGCTCGGTACATTGTCGCTCGCTGCTCCGCACTCTGTCGGTCTCTGGTCCGCACTCAGTCGGTCTCTAGTTGGACGCCTCCAATCTCGTGCACGATCCGTCGGTCACTGGTTCGCACCCCACTACCAGCGAGCCTCGTGGGTTCCATCATCGATGACCTTCGCACCCCACCGCCGGCGAGCCTCTCTCTCTTGGTATATCATATTGATATTATCTATTACTGGTATATTTAGGTGAGACGCTTCTCAGTTTCAGAGCAACAGTTGGCTATTGTGTAAGTTGTATTATTTAAATTTCGAAGTAATGTTGGCTATTGTCAATTGTTGTGCATAAGTTGTTATTACAGTGATCGAAGGTTGTCATTAACGACCCCATGACCTGTACTGTTATGTAGGATGGAAGACTTGTGTAAGTTGTATTATTTAAATTTCGAAGTAATGTTGGCTATTGTCAATTGTTGTGCATAAGTTGTTATTACAGTGATCGAAGGTTGTCATTAACGACCCCATGACCTGTCCTGTTATGTAAGATGGAAGACTTGTGTAAGTTGTATAATTTAAATTTCGAAGTAATGTTGGCTATTGTCAATTGTTGTGCATAAGTTGTTATTACAGTGATCGAAGGTTGTCATTAACGACCCCATGACCTGTCATGTTATGTAGGATGGAAGATTTCTGTAAGTTGTATTATTGAAATTTTGAAGTAATGTTAGTTATTGTCAATTGTTATGCATAAGTTGCAATTACCTAAGTGGAGCGATTCCAAATGAACTAGGAAACCTATCACAGCTCAGAAGTTCGTGAGTGCAGTATTTTAATGTAGTTTCTGGTTCATTTCATCCAATTTATGTTGTTATAAGGATGGACAAATCTCATTCATTCATCATATTCCTGTATTTTCTAGGGTTATATCAAGTAACTCCCTCAGTAGGAATATACTATTCTTTATATGTTGTAATTGGTTACTCTGTATCTTGTCATTTACTATCCTGTATGTTGTCATTTACTACTCTATGTTGTCATTCACTAGTATGTACGCTGTCAACTGCTTATTTGTGTGTTGTGATTAGTTGGTGTGAAGGTTGTTATTGTCTTGTGTGCAGGTTGTCATTAGCCTCTGTTAGTTTGTCGCTTGCTTATGTATAGGTTGTAATTTCCTGCTATTCTTGTTGTCATTCGGTTTAGCGTGGATTGTCATTGGCTGCTGTGTATGTTGTGAATGGCACAAATGTAGGTTGTGATTGTCTGATGTGTAGGTTGTAACTGTATGCTGTGCATGTTGGATGCTTGTAATCCCCTCAAGAAATCCATGACTTGAAGGTTGGATGCTTGTGGTGGCTTGTAACTTATCAGAACAACCTGCATGGTGATCAAGTGCTGTCTTTGCTACGAGGAAACTCCCAAAGCAAGAAGAAGAAATAAACGATGAGCATAGATTGTATTTAGTTTTTTTTATTTGACAGCTGAATGTAAAGTTCAGATTTTGTTTCTTTATTTGACCATGTAGTAATAGCTAGATATTAAGATATGTTAATGTGTATTGACATCATTTACTGATTATGAAGTTTTTGTAATGACATTCATGTGTTTTGACAAAACAGGAAATTCTTCGTTCCACACACGGATCATGTCCACAAATGCAGACTAAATAAAACTGGATAAACAAATGGTAACCATGACGACATGATAGGCATATATCACAATCATCTCTGCTACATCCATTTACAACCTCAACGGGGATTGTTGACAACCCGAAGACAAGTGGTTAACAACCTGGGCAGTGTCCCTGACAAATCACTCTGTGGGATGCCACAGCTTCTAAATAGATTGTATTATCAGCATATATAACGACCTTAAAAAAAATTAAGAGCATTTTAAAGTTATTAACAGCTTTAATTGAACCCAATAGGATTACAGTAGATTTTTACTACAGCAATTCATTTACAACCTCAACAGTGGGTGTTGACAACCCGAAGAGAAGTGGCTAACAACCTTCGCAATGGGCCAAACAAATTTGTATGAAAACTTATCAGCAATGCTGTACCTATATAGTGCTTGTCTAAGGGCTACTGCATTAGGAAAAATTTATTCTTCTCCAATAACCAGACCCTTTCACTTTGTTGAATTCCTTTCCGAAATTGGGGTTGGCATCATTTCTGAACCACATGGCAATGATAGTGGGTCTTCACTAAACACATTAGGTGGAGACATGGACAATGCATCTGAACCTTCGAACAAGTCTTCCATCCTACATAACAGGACAGGTCATGGGGTCGTTAATGACAACCTTCGATCACTGTAATAACAACTTATGCACAACAATTGACAATAGCCAACATTACTTCGAAATTTAAATAATACAACTTACACAATAACCAACTGTTGCTCTGAAACTGAGAAGCGCCTCACCTAAATATACCAGTAATAGATAATATCAATATGATATACCAAGAGAGAGAGGCTCGCCGGCGGTGGGGTGCGAAGGTCATCGATGATGGAACGAGGCTCGCTGGTAGTGGGGTGCGAACCAGCGACCGACGGACCGTGCACGAGATTGGAGGCGTCCAACTAGAGACTGACTGAGTGTGGACCAGAGACCGACGGAGTGCGGAGCAGCGAGCGACAATGTACCGAGCAGACACTGACAGACCTCGCCGGAGATTGAAGCTGTCGGAGCACACAAGGATGGACACGAACGAGATGGCGGCGGATTTCATGAAGATGACAACCGATAGGAGTTTTTCTCTCAATCGTGTGCTTCAGTTTCTTTCTTTAATCAGAAGGGCAAGAAAGTAATTGCACGTTTGAAATTTTTTGCCATAAAGTCCCTTAGGACCTCATATACATTTTATGATTTCATGGGAGCTTTCAGTAGTAAATTCTCTTCTGTGGGACTCTACAGTAATTTTTCCTAAAATTATGTTACCCGCAAGCAGTCAAAGAAGTTGGCGCGTAATAATCGAGCGCGCACTTGTTGAAGTTTAAAATTGGAGTGAAATTTGAATTCTAAATCCCTCCTGCGCCAGCGCCTCCCGCTTTTGACATCCAGTTCGAGCTTCTCTCGTTTCTCTCGTTCAGTTTCAGCTTCTGATTCACAGTCACTCGCTTTCACTTTCCTCGTTCTTCTTCGTCTTCTTTCTCTGTTACTCTCTGTCTCTCGCTTTTCGATCGACAATGGGTGATCCGACTCATCTCGAGCAGATGGGCAAAGAACTCAAGTGTCCAATTTGGTGTGTGGTTCTTTATCATTTCTTGCGTTTTGTTCATCTGCGATTTAGTCTGTGATCCCTCTTGCTCTCAGCTCTGACCTCTTGCAGAAAATGGGAACCCGATTCCTTTATTCATTTACGTTTCAACTTAGTTTTCATCTCCCCCAACGTTTTTTTTTAAATGTTTCTGGGTTATCCCAAGAAGAAAGGAATTAAAAAACTCTACCCCATTAGCTGTTGGTCATGTTTGGCTTAACCATTAAACAGCCGGAAACTAAATTGATTACAGATATGTGTTTGTGTTAAGAAAGCCTGCTCGTTATTTTGCTCAGTTCAACACTCTGCTAAAAACAACTTAAAACCCGTGTCTCCTTAATAATTTTTATCGGCGATACTTTTGGAAGGAATTACAAACGCTGTCCCATTTACTTTCTCCATCCAGTATATAGCTGCAATGGCGATAATAACGTAGTGTGCTATTTGGCGACCTTTTGAAATTTGAAACAGTTATGTATTCAAACGGGTTGAAATTTGAAATAATTAATTTAAAGAAAGAATAAAAAATACATTTTCTGTAAATTTCAAACTGGTTGAAATTTGAACCCACTTTCCTGGGATATAATTGGCTGATTTTGTACGCTTTGCACTGAATATGCAGTTGGAGTTTACTGGATTCTGCAGTTTCTCTTACATGCAATCATGTATTCTGCAAGTAAGTTGCTTTGTCGATTTTTAATTGGTTTTTTTTTTCTTGCTTAAGTATTTGAGGATTGAGGATACTGAAAGTAAGTCTTTCTGCTTGCTTTCAGCGCATGTATTGTGAAATCAATGAAATCAGGTTCTAGTTGCCCCGTGTGTAAACTGCCCTTCCGGCGTAGAGGTAAGTTTCATGATTTTACATGGAGATAATAGGGTGCAGAGTTGCATTGAGGAAAAAATAATTTAACATTCTTGAATGATATATTATTTCTCGAAGAATTGTTGATTATGTGGCTACACAAACTTGCAAATCATTTTCTTGTGAATAGTCAATATAAACTTCCCTGTCAAATACATTCCTAACATGTTTATAGATACGTTCTTTCCTTTTTGATGTTTCTTGCTTGTATATTTGAGCCAAGGACAGAAGTTTTAAAGGCCACAATTTGATTCCTTATTTTCTTTTGGACTGAAATGTTCATTTTGCTTCCTCATGGGATTTTGTGTGCTTGACCTAAGATTCCTAGTGGTTTTAAGATCTTGGTCTTTTTTACAACTAGACCATTACATCTAATCGTTTTTAGTGTGGCTTAGTAGCGTAAAAGCTCCTTTATGTTGAAGGTCGTGGGATCACTCTCAGCGGTTAGTGCCTGCCATTATTAATAAAAGAGAGAACAGTTCTCAGTTCCAGTCTAAAATCTATATTAGAAATCATAGATACCTGAAAAAGAGACAACTTGATATGCACACAACTGTGCTTGCTTGATTACCTTGAACAACTAATTTTATGTCTGCATTGTATAATTTTGAGCACCTTGCTCTTTCTTAAAGTATTATTGGCCGTAAAAGAGCCTATTAATTGCTCGAAGCTTCTGGTTTACCGGTGGACACTGTAAATTCTGTCACAGACACCAGTGTTTATGAATTCTGTATGAAAATAATTTTTATTCTCTCATGTTGTTGGGGCATATTATCTTGGTTTCTGAATGCTGTAAAATACTTGTAGATAATTTCAATGTAAAGATGGCATGACTACCAAATTTCATGTCCTTTTTTATGCCGCTGTTTCTCGGATTTTGGTAATTACTGGCTTAATCACGGAGAACATATTTCTTTGTGAAGAGATTCGCGCTGCTCCTCATATGGATAGCTTGGTGAGTATCTACAAAAGCATGGAAGTTTCTTCGGGAGTTAACATATTCGTCACTCAGAACGTACCTGGTGCAAAATTATCAGGTACTTTTGCTTCTTTTAATCATTCTTTTTCTGGTAGTGTGGATAGTTCAGGTTGTTTGCTTGCAGGAATCGTACCTGATCCAGTCCTTGTATGTTTCTCAACTAGCAAATTGAGTTTTATTTGCTTCTTTTTTATGCCGCATTATAAAGGGCAAATAGTCAGACTATAAAAAATGATTTGCACCTGTGTCGGTTTTTTCTTCTCCTAGAAAAAAGGCCAGTTATGGAATGAAAAATTTTAATTTGAACTTTATTATCATCCCTCTGTTAGAGCTAATCGTATATACTCTTAGAATCTTATAGCTACGGACAAAATTTTGTTTGTGATAATTACATGCCAAATATGCTTTTCGTTTGTCATCTGTCGGACACATTGCTGCTTTTTTGTTTCCTTGCATGTAAAGCTGCATATGCATTGTCTTGCAATCATGCCTCGGGTCTTGTCCTCTTGATATTGTGCCTGCACGATCTTGCAGATGGAGAAAAGCAATGTGATGGTGATACCAATTGTAGGGATAAGGTTGCTGGTGATACTCATCAAAATCATTCAGAGACACGACAGAAACGCAAAAGGAAGGGATCGAGGAAAGAGACTGAGGCCAACAAGAAGAATTCTGGTGCTGACTCTGTAAAACCTACCTTTCCAGCAAAGAAAAGGGTTCAAGTGCCGCAAAGTCCTCTTTCAAAAACTCCATTTAAGAATGCAGGGCTTGAGCCTTCTCCAAGTGAAATTATCAAAAAGGGAAGCAAAGAGGGTTTGGCCACCTCAAATGGGAGGCCTGTCAGAAATGAGAAAGAAGTAGCTCTTTCGCCCTTCTTTTGGTTAAGAGATGAAAAAGATGGGGAAAAGTCAAGTCAGGACACCGTTGGGGGTAAACTCAGCGATACACCAACACCAAATCTTCCTTCATTCAGTGATCTCAGGGACTCTGACGACGAAAACTCTTCTAAAGCGACTCCATCAGTAAGTTTATATCATGTACTATCACAACTTGCTAAGTGGAAAGTATTCCTTAATAGTTTGTTGATTGAAACAGTAGTTGCTTACGGTTATGTATCTATGAGAAAATGGTGAAATTTAGCTCTGTTGTGTTCTGAATACTTCGATTACTTGATGAATCCCTAGGCTACTTGATTATTCACAAGTGATGAAAGCGAACCTGCAGAAATCACTCAACTTCAAAATTCAGCTTAATTAATTGTTCAGCATGCATCCCCCCCCCCCCCCCCCCCGGGGGGGAACTCTTCTATTTGGCTAAGAAATTGAAACGGGTTGAATCGGTAACATTTAGCCACAACTTCAGTATGGATCATGCTATAATGTTAATTTTTGTTATTGTTATATAGGTTGATGTACAAGATACAAATTTCGTTGATTTATTTGATAGTGAGATGTTTGACTGGACACAAAGGCCTTGCTCCCCTGAATTATGCTCAAGTCCCTTCAGGATGCAGGTAGTGGAAGACCATTAGCCATAGTTTCCTCTAACTTAATTTTGGGTCTTATCTACTAATTTATTCCATTAATTGCATTATTTTCAGGTTGAAGATACTGGTGAGGTTGATGAAAATCAAGTGAAGGATTATGTACCTGATTCCCTGGAACTTGAAGCAAATAAATTAGGTGCTGATAATACAGAATTTGAGAATTTGAAACAAGGAAATGATTTGAACACGAAGACACCTGGAGCGGCTTCTCTTCAAAAGAAATCAAGAAAGAGAGGCAGGAAGGCAACCGAAAAGCCCCAGAAAGAGCAGACTGAAAAAAATGGAGTCTCAATTAATGGAACTGACTTCATTCCAGAGCAATTACCAAAAGTCAGTCACGAGCAAACATGGGACAATAAACGTGATTCTTCAAATCAGGGGAGGACGAATAGAAGAGGTAAGAAGACTTGTTTCGATAATACTTCAAAGCCAACACCTCAAACTGCTCGAGCACTTTCTGATATATCTGGGACTATTGGCGACGGGGAAGCAAAAATGGTAAATGATTCACCTGCTTCACCATGTAAACAAGAACATGAGAAGAATTATAATGTGAAAAATTCTAAGAAAAGCCAGGGGAGAAGGTCCGGGAAACAAAAGCTGGATAATTTACAAAAGATAGTTGAAGACCCATCTTCAATGCAAAACTGTAACAATGAGCATGCTGGTCATCAGTTATCAAGTCTCCAAATGGATAATAATGGAAAGCCGTTCAGAAGCAGGCAAATAGAAATTAGTTCTGGCAGAAAATCCAAGTCCTGCGACAGAGGATTGGGGAATAATAAAAGGTTAAAAGTTTCATCTGATTGCATCTCCCAGGAAGCAAATGATGAAAAAACTCAGCCTACCGAGAGGATTCATCAACACCCTGAAAGTGGGGTTTTGAGTGAATCATTTAAAGAGAAACACCATCCTGGGATTGATGTAGTTTTACGGAAATGTGAGACCCATATCAAGAAGTTCCAATGCGCTTTCTGTCTGTCATCAGAAGAATCAGAGGTAAAATTGCTTGTCTTCTTATTGTCTATAACTCTATAATTTTTCGCCCTTTAGCTGCTTTCCCACTCTGTTCACGCTGGGTATATATCATTACAGATAGACTAAAACTTCTCTTTAAACCAAAATACAGGCTTCTGGCCAGATGGTGCATTACTATAAGGGCAAGCCTGTTGCTGCAGATCATGAAGGAGGATCAAAAGTCATACATTCTCACAGGAATTGCACTGAATGGTAAGGGATTTTCAGGCGAGTAATATGATTATTTTAGCAATGGTACCTTGTGTTATATTAATTTAGCATGGAGTATATTCGTGTAAGTTGAACATGTGCTCATTCAGAAGTGCATTGTATCTCTCTACATCATAATGTCATGCTAATGAGTCAAACTGCGATTTATCACTCTTCTTGGAATTTTAAAAAAAAAAAATCATCTCTTATAGATTTGTTATAGTTAAGTTGGTTTATTTAGTTCTGGTTTGAACTCGGACTTGTGAGTTTAATATTTTCATTGCAGTTAAACTGTTTTATACATGCACAGGGCCCCCAATGTATATTTTGAAGATGATATTGCAATTAATCTTGAGGCCGAAATAAGCAGAAGTCGAAGAATTAAATGTAGTTTTTGTGGACTTAAGGGGGCGGCACTAGGTTGTTTTGAAAAAACTTGCCGCAGGAGCTTCCATGTTACCTGTGCCAAGTATACTTCTCAGTGTCGATGGGATATGGTATGTGGTAAAAATCAAATTGCACCTAACATTGCATCCACTTATATGAGAAGTTGCCTAATTCAATCTATTTACCTTATTGATTCAGGATAACTTTGTGATGCTCTGTCCTCCGCATGCTTCTTTGAAGTTGCCTTGTGATAGTAGAGGAACGCAAAACGGAAGCAAGAAATGCACAGCTAGAGAGTAAGCCAATGCCAGAATATCATCTCGATTATGAATTATCTAAAATATTGTTACTTATTGAAGATTCTTTCAAATTTCAATTTCGTTCTCTTTACAGTTTTGTCGGGCGAGGAAATCAGCGCAACACTGCTGGCAAGCATGACACTGCCCAAAATCTGAATGCTCGTGGGTCATATAAGAAAGTTGTTCTCTGTTGTTCAGCTTTATCTGGTCCAGAGAGGGTATTTTCTTTTCTTGTGGAATCACATTGCTACGTTCTTCTTGAATAAATCTAATTCCTATTTTACGATGGTGAAATTCTGTAGGATATTGTTTCTGAATTTGAAAGAGTTGCCAAGGTAACAGTTTTGAAAAAGTGGGATGCAAGTGTGACCCATGTGATAGCATCAACAGATGAAAATGGGGCATGCAAAAGAACCCTCAAAGTACTGCTGGGTATCCTCGAGGGAAAATGGATTCTCAATGTGGAATGTAAGTTCTATTCTTTTCTGAAAATTATTTTATTTATATTCTTTTTCTTGCAGTAAATGCCAATAGTTGTCTTCCTTTTTCTCGATTTGTAATACTTATTTTTTCTTTGGCGGTGGCGGGTGTGGATTTGGGGTCCAAAGCAGGGATTAGAGCATCCATGCAAGCAATGGAACCTGTTGATGAGGAGCGTTATGAAATTAATGTGGACATCCATGGAATCCAGGATGGCCCTCGTCTCGGACGACTGAGAGTATTGAATAAGGTTGGTTTTCCTAGAGTTTTGGCTATTCCCTTTTTTTTTTTGTGGGGGGGTGGTTAATCAAGATAACATAGAAGCAATGTCTATACTAAAGAGGGAAAAATTGCGAAGGTAAATTTCTTTTATCTTTTTTGGCCCCCAGCGTGCCCAAGAAGCTGAATATTCTTGAAAATAAGAATGAAATATCGACAAGAACCTTAAAAATCCCGCCTCGGCATCTTCAAACCGGAATAAATCGCAACCAATCACTACCTTTAATCTTCAGATTGTGTCTGGACTATAGGGAATGAGAATATTCTGGATGTTTTGTATGTTTGACCGTCTGGTAATTGGCATATGCCAGTTAATCTGGACTTTAGCCCATCAAGTTACAGAACCTGATCTCAACGTCATCATTGAAGTGTCAATGATGAAAACCCAACTATAGGCTTGAAAAATATGCATTTATTAAAATCAATACTAAATGTTTACTTGCGTGCTAACATGTACTGTCTTTTGTTTCTACCAATGCAGCAACCAAAGCTTTTTGATGGCTACAAGTTTTATTTTATGGGTGATTTTTTGCCATCGTATAAGGGTTACCTACAGGACCTTGTCACGGCTGCTGGAGGGATCTTTCTGCACAGAAAACCATTATGTCGCGACCAAAAAGCATCATTATCACCTGATATGCATCCACCCCAAACCTTCATTATTTACAGCCTCGAACTTCCTGAAAAATTTGATCCCCTAAAAAGGGAAACGATTCTCAGTCAAAGGCGAAATGATGCGGAGGCTTTGGCAAGGTCAACTGGTTCAAAAGCGGCGAGTAATACATGGATTTTAAATTCTATTGCAGCCTGCAGGTTGCAAAGCCTTGTTGAATAAAATATACATACTTCCAAACTCTGATTCGTGTACATATCCTATCGTTCCCTTTTTATTAATCGTTGTTTCTGTTCAAACGTGGGTAGAAAAGAGCAGCGAACTATTTGTAAAACAAACTTTCAAATTTTATGTTTGTTGGGAGATTGGAATTATAGTGGATTGTCGCATCATGGAATGAATTCATACCCTATTCATGTGCTTAAATGTCCACTATACTGAGACGTAATAAAATGGTGTTGAAGTCAATAGCAAGCAGTTATAGATTTAATAGCGGGAAGATGTGTATGATGCTTGTAACAGAAGCATATGGAGATATACATCGTTGATAATTAGTTGCATACATAGCTTTATAATTATCGATTACAAGATTAAACTGCCACATGAGGTCCTCGAATTTTCTTTTCCTTGTAAAACGTGAATTGAACAAAGCTTGGGTTTGGGACTGCAGGCAGAGTACAAAGGAAAGGAAGGGAAAGAATCCGGAATATACAACTCTTGTGCCAGTGGACACACGAAAAGCTGAAGTTTCAGGAATATGTGCAAGGTCACTAATCTCCTCTACTTTGACTCATCTCCTCACCCTCATAATACGAACTATTATTAAAGGCAAACTATTTAATTCACGGCTCCTTTTCTTTTCATGATCTAAGCGTGCTTACTAGAACTGAAAATGAGTAAGAGGTAGGCGAAGAGTGAATAATGATCTCAAGTTCACCTCTTATCTCCGCCTCCACCTAGTACACGTTTAGCTTTTGTATTAATGATCCCAGGTTTGCTTTTGCCTATGTTTTGAAATTTTCAAGCTGAGAGATTCGAGCACATGCTCTAAAGCTGAAATGTCCTCTTTGATATTGAGGTCGTCTTCACCTTTTGTTGCCAATTTTCCCTTGAAGCCATGTATCTTGTCAATGCCTGCTTGAACTTCCCCCTCCATTTCCTCCATTGTAGCAAGAATCTGCGTGTTCTCCTCTTGTGTTTCTATGACTTTTTTCTTCAGAGATTGAAAACCATCATTTACGTTTAGGAGCTGCTCTGAGAGTTCCTTGTTTCTCTCTTGCAGCGCCATGTTGCCTTGCATTTCCATTTCACTACTCCTCTCCCTGTGTTCTAAGCCGCAAGAGCGCAACTTCTCCATCAACATATGGTTCTGATCTTTCAGATCAATAATATAGTCCTCCAATTCTGACAATTCTTGAGCCTTCCTTGCAAGTTCTGCTGCCATTATTTGCTTCTCTTTTCCCAAACTTGAACATATGGCTTGAATGCTCTGTCTCGCTATCAAGCTTGCATGAAGCTCTCTCCTTAGCCTTTCTTTCTCATCTGTTATCAGTTCAGGACCTTTTTTCTCCCTTGGGCTCGGAATATTAGGCTTAACATCAGTGTTGCACCGCCGGAGTTCAGCTCTTCTCTTTGAAGTCGTTTGAATCTTTTGAATCCTGTTCTTAACTTCATCTATGATTGAAATCATCCCAGCCACCCTATGATGTTTGCGCTCCAAATTATCTTTCGGGTTCCCCACATTATGATCTTGAATTAATTTCAGCAACAGCTTCACATTGGTGGCAACCCCTATATGGAAAATAAGAAACAACAGAGAAAGATGAATAAGTGCTTGATCAATATGCTTGTGTTTTGTTTATCCAGTTGCTGCCATTAAAGATAACAGAGCTATTGTATACTTTCTTTCTCTGATATATTTCTTTATTAAATAAATTGTTTCATTGATTTTCTGAGTGAATACAAGATGGTAAATCTTGTCATGCAAGTTCTGACCAAAAACAAATGCATTGAAATCTAACAAACAGGAGGCATCACTTGGGAAAGAGGGTTCATAGATTGATTACCTTCGAAACCAATATTTTCTTGGCCTGGTTGAGCAATGCTGCTTGAAGAAGGTATTAATTCTGGGGCTGAAACTGCTCGAAGTTGGCTCATGGTGTGCATTCAGGGGAAGAAACTAATGATAATCTGGTCCAAGAAGCAAGGAGGAGGATGAGGCTGAGGATGATGAGTAAGAGGAAATGGATGGATTGTTAAGATGACAAAATCTCAATGGCAATGTGTTGTGTTTTTTTCTTTTTCAGAGATCCAAGAAAGAGAGATTGCTTTGTTGCAGCCTCTCTTGTCCTTTCTCTCTCTACGCTCTATGAAAATCTTTTCCTTTCCATTTCACCATTTCTAATTCAGTATATTCTTAAGTTGGTGTTAGTTTTGATGTGGTTGGTTATTGCGCAATTATTGGGTGTGGTTTTGACTTTTTCCAATGGCCTTTGGTTCTTTTGTCTTCCCTTTGAGATCTAAAACCACATGGGGGATAGATGTATCCAACTAAGATCCCATTTTTTAATGAGCAAAATGTTTCTGTAAAACAAACACACTCCTTTTATATTTATTAATGTGAACAACCAGTGTGTCTCAAGGGATTTTTTTCCCTTTTTTGTTTTCCCCTAAAAAATAGAATCCAGTTAACAAAAGCTTTTTTCCCTCCATTTCTCAACAACCAGTTTCCATGAAAGAAAACCGAATATTGATTTTATAATAAAACAAAAGAAAGAAGAAATTTTTAAGTGTGGAGGATTATTTTCTCGGAATGGAAGCTAAATAAATAGAGTTCTCTTCCTTACTGAGAAAAATTATTTATTAATTTAGACTAACAAATTCAAAATCCTAAAGATATTTATTTATTTTATTAAAGATAAAGTAAGATATATAATATTTTATATGTTACTAAAATTCTAAATAAGATGTTATCCCTTATTCAAAACTATAACTTCAATTACCAACAATAAAATAATTATTATTTAAAATAGTTTAATTTTTTTCGCCTGAATTAAAAATAATTAATATCAATCTTGCATCTTTAAAAACTAACATATAATTGTATTTATGCAAAAAAAAAAAAAACAACTACTAAATTACATTCCAATATATACGAAAGATCTCAAAAGGGGAAAAAACCACAGAGTTGATATTTCTATGCGGAAACAAAAACTATGGTCTCAATTCTAACAGTTATTCACTTATTCTATAGTAGTGTAAATTCTTAAAATTATGAATTTAAATAATAGAGATGACTTTATGATTTTAATATTTATTCAGTTAGCTAGAAAAAAAATATTTTTTCAATTAAATTATTGTTGTTAAAATTACAGTGAAAACTATTACATACAAAGAATAGCTTATTTTAGGCTAAACTATCTTAGACTAACTATATTTTACCAAAAAAATTACTTATGCTACTAAAAAAATTCTCAACCAAAAATATTTTGACACTTTAACTCTTCTAAAATAATCAACTTAAATGCTTAATTTTGCCAATACATTAAAATTTGCCACATTGTTTGGCTAAAAATAATACCATATTCGATCTTTAATACAAGAGTTAATTGATTAAAGGGAAAACCATATTGAAGGTACCTATACTTTCTCTCAATTTTTAATTTGGTACCTATATGTTTTTTTCCCTTTAATTAAACATTTAATTTTATCTTTTTAGCAACATTAGCTCTTATAACTTTGTTTCTATTTATATTTTTAGTCTCTACATAAGGATTAATGATGTTAATAGAGGAAAAATAAAGATTTAGTTAAGAGAAAAAAACACATAGGTACCAAATTGAAAATTGAAAAAAAGTATAAGTACCTCCAATATGGTTTTCCCTTAATTAAATTAAAAAAATCAATTAAGTTAATCATTTTTGATAAATAGGTGTTATTTTTCTTAAAATATTTTTGCTAATCAAATGTATTAACTAGAACTACCATCTGATAAAATATTTAATATGTGCAATTACTACAAAGATTGTATTGAAAAATAATGAATAAATATGAAAGACAAATGAATTGAGATCTTATATTTAGGACTAAAATGAATGTCAAACTACTACCTCTGGTCCTTAATATAAGACCTTGTTTGACTTTTATTTTGATCATAAATATAAGACCTCAATCTATTTTATCTTTCATATTTATGTATTTTTTTTCAAGGTAGTCCTTCTAACAATGATAATTATAACAAACACACTTAATTAGCAAGGATATTTCAGGAAAGACAACACCTATTTATTATAAGTAACTAACTTAACTTCTTTCCTTAATTTTCTCAAATTAGTTAACTAGCTCTTATAATTAGAACCGGAGGTAGTATTTCTTATATTAAGGATAGGAGATAGTAATATTAGAAAAGCCTAGTTTCATAATATTATATCATTCAATTAACTGTACCAATTTGCTGCAAAAAAAAAAAATAACTGTACCAATTAATTTTATCAGTATTACTGTCTAAAAATTGGTTATAAAATGCAATTAACAATTCCCATTCCCATTGTCCCCAAAAAAAAAAAAGAACAATCTCTCTTGAAGAAAATTTTTTTGGAGCGGAAGATCCAAGTTCCAAAAAAATGACGTGGTTCGCAAATTGTGAGGTTGATGAGTTCGGTTAAATACTCAAAAGCCCAATCTTCATTGCCCAGCCTGAGGTTAAAACGAGGGTTTAGTTTTTGAACGGTGTTTCAGTTTTCTTAGCAGAATCGGTTTCTGGGGAAAGTTTCAATGATGTCGTCTTATTCGTCTTCGCACCCAGCATCGTCTTCGTATTCTTCTTCGAAGGAGCTATCTGAGAATGAAGAACCTGAAACCAGGAACTGGCTGGACCTTCCTCGGGACGTGACGGCGTCGATTCTCCTGAAACTTGGCGCAGTGGAGATCCTTACGAGTGCTCAGTGTGTATGCACTTCGTGGCGGAGTATCTGCAAGGATCCTGTCATTTGGCGCAGCATTGACATGCAAAATCGGGGGGATCTCCATATTATGCCTGACGATTTGGAGATTTTGTGCCGCCGCGCTGTTGACCGAAGCTGTGGTCAATTGGTCGATATTAATGTCGAATACTTCGGCACTGATGATCTGCTCAAGTACATTACTGATAGGTAAACTCAAACACTTTCTCTTTGTTGTTACTTTTCGAACGTTCTAGGTAGTTGGTTTTCGTAGGTTTGTGGAGTAAGAATTTTTATGGCTCTGAATTTTCCCATTTTATGGGTATTGTTATCATGAGTTTCTTTTGAGTGGATGGTACTGATTGATATGTTGGTTATTTCCTCTGTTCATTTGAGTTTTGAAGTGAATGTGTTGAATGCATTCGGGATTGCGGAAGCACTTTTAGGGTTTTGTTTCCTGAAGTTGCGACCGTTTCGAACTAGGAAGATTTTCTTTCCTTTTCTTCTGGGTCTTTTATGTATTGTGTTATAGGGAACAGATTAAGTTGGAAATGCAAATAATGGTCATGCTGAAAGTAACATTAGATGTATCGTTTTCCATTCCGTAAGAGCGCAATGAGAATTTTGGTCACTTGATATTACCGCAGTCTTAATTGTAACTCTCTTTCATTAATTATAGTTGTTGAGATGCCTTCTTTCATTCCATCGGGAGAATTCTAGAAAGTTTCCAGAGCTGAAAAAAAAAATCGTAATTATCATGCAACACTTTCAGAACACACACACACACCTACCCATGGCGCTCGCTCTGCCCCAGGGTTGTGTTTAGTTTTCACATGAACTTTTATGACTAAGTCAGCGTGCTGTAAAACTGGGGACTTGAGAGTAGCCTATGGGTGTCTTACTTGTTTTGCATGATTACATGTGATAAGACTGAACCCCAAGTTTTAAATCCTCGTGATGTCAACTACGCCACTGTGTTCTATTAGCAGCCGATTTTTCTAACATATCATTCACTGAGAAACTCGATTTGATAATTTCTTCAATTTTTTTTCTGGGGCCTTCATCTACATCTTTTCATAGGACTAAAGCCTATCTGCCCAACTCCTCTCATTGGCACCCCCGTTGGCCTTTTTTGCATTTTTCCAACCCATCTTAAATGATTTTCTACTATTTTTCCCTCCAAAGATGTTATTCCCAACTTTTCCTCATATATAATCATTATAGATCTTTTTTCCTCATGGGCATACATCCACCTCAATACTCTTATCACCAAGTTTTTGCTCTTATTGTCCCTTCATTTCCCAACATTCATTGTCACATAGTGTCACTGGTCTTATAATTGTTTGGTAAAACCTTTTTTTTAAGCTTAGCATGTATTTCAAGGTCACAAATGGCTTCTGATGCCTTCCTTCATTTCGACCAGCAAAGAAAAAGATGATCCTGAATTCATTTAATTGTACGTTTATATTTTGGAACTAATATGCTCTGTTTATGCGTCCGCACTTGCTGTTAAACTTTTTGTATATATTTATGTAGTTGACAATGTAGTATGTAGGTTTTACTATTTCTGTTTTGAGTATTCCAATGTTAACATCACCCCCTGTCACAATGTCATGTTATTTTGCAGTACAAGTCACCTACGTCGTCTTAGGCTTGTTTACTGTGATGATATATCAGATGAGGGGTTGTGTGAAGTTGCTGGGAAACTTCCACTGTTGGAGGAACTTGACATTTCAATTGGCAACATATCTAAGGATTCTCTTGAAGTTATTGGCCGAAACTGCCCTCATATAAGATCTTTGAAATTCAATATGGAGGTTTTCAGACGTCCTCACATTGAACTTGATGATGAGGCATTTGCTATTGCAAAAACCATGCCTGAGCTGCGCCATCTCCAGCTTTTTGGGAACAAGCTGACTAATGTTGGTCTGCTTGCCATTCTTGATGGTTGTCCTCGCCTGGAATCCCTTGACCTGAGACAGTGTTTCAATATTAATATGGAAGGAGCTTTGGGGAAAAGATGTGCTGAACAGCTGAAAGATTTACGGCGTCCAAATGATCCCACTGATGACTACCCTTTTGATGCCACAATTCCTGATGGTGGATCATTTGATGAAGACTATCCGTTGGGGATCTCAGACACAGATTTCTTGTCGGATGATGATTATGAGTATGACTTTTATGCCTTCTCGGACGGAAGTGATATATCTGACGACGTCGGCTATTATTTTGATCCTGATACCTATTAGCAAAACATGAAGCTTTTTTGAAGAAAACAGGTGCTTTGAAAATTCAAGTTTTCATTCTTTTGTGGCTCTCTCTTAAAGATTGTGGTGAAAGTGCAGCAGGGAAAAGTTTGTCAGTAAGTTAAATTCAAGTGACCTGGATCTTGTAGGGGTTGATGCTGTTTTAATGGATATTGTAGATGGAGACATCCTGCCTGGTAGAATGTATGAAGTGTCTCCCAACGTCAATGAGATGCCTGCATGGTGGGCAACCTTCATCTATGTGTTTTTTTTTTCTTTTTTTCTGGGTGCTGTTTTAAATTTTATTACAGCGTTTCACGTGCCAAGATTGATCCATTGAATCATTGTTTTGATTTGGCCCCTCAATTATGCTTTGTGCTAAATAAGACCATGTGATCGAAGAGATGTGATATATATACTTATGTTAAGTTAAAGGAGCAATATTGGACAAATTTAAACAACAAATGAACTTCAATGGATCAAGCTTGATCTTGCCATTTTCCTCCTATTATTCATAATTAACCTCTATTCTAACTCTAGTTATCTCCTTTTGGAAGGTGTCTTTTTGGTGCTTCATGGTGCTCAACCTCACATTTCAATCAAGTTATAGCTCTTGGAACGTGGAAGAACACTTTTTAAAATAGTTGATGGTTGATAATATGTGTCTATAGTAACACTGTGCTTAGTATGGGAAAAGATGCTAATTATATCTTATGTTTGCAAACACTATCTTCAAGCATGGAGTGACTTCTATATATATAATGAAGGGCCTCGGATTTTATATCTTCAAGCATGTTTCGTTAGATTTTCACGGGCCAATATGTATAATTAAAATCATCGGATTCAATTTTTAGGCATCAAAATCGATTATTTCAAATTTCAACCCTATAGTGAATATTGCTTTTGGAGTAGAAAATTATGTTTGGGAAAGGGATATGTGATGGAGAACATTAGCATTGGCTGAAAATAGTCTTCATCAGAAATTTAATTTTGTTAATGCTGTTGCTATCTTTGTATTAAAGCTCGGCCTAGGTCCAGCGTCAAGGATGAAAATCTCATTAAACACGAAAATTGAATTATGATGTTATGCTTCATCCAGCGGATGCGGATCACCATTTCATATTTAGAATTTTCAATGTTATATTTTAATTTACATATAATAAAACATTAAACCATATAAAAAAATCATCCTAAAATATTCATACTAGGTTTTTAAGCTGACCGTCATTTTCCCCCGTATTTCCTTTTCTAGTTTAACCCATTTTTTAGTTGATTCTCGTTTTTATTGGTCTTGCAAAGTTGTGAAACAAATTCAACATCAGTTATGTAGTACTTGTAACACCTTGCAAGTGGCTACTAAATTTTTTTTTTTTGATAACAGATCCACTAAATATTATATATATAATAAGAAGGATTTGAATTGTTGATTTATATATGATGGGACTTACTAAATAGTACAGTATGTTGCCAAAAAAAGTAGTTAAAAACTATAAAAAAATATATAATATGACTACTGATTAATAATTAATTGTATGACTTAATGTTCAAGCGTCCTGCGACATGTCTTTTTGGCCCACGCGAAAAAGGTGTTCAATTCATGATAAATTCTATGAAGTTGTTGGTGTAAATTTTGCAGATCTTATATTATTTGGGTATGGAATAAAAATTTTTATCGTCAACACATTGAATGCCATTTAGGCATTTACATGCAGCTCTTCTTCCTGTTGTCTCAGTGCTTAGCAACCAAAGATCTCGCCTTTGTTATTCCCGCGTCAACCCCAACGCGCAGGAGCAAACTTTTAAAATTACAATTACAATACTGAACGCCCAACGACAATTCCCCTGGCGACGACGACGGTGATCTCACCCCCCGGCAACTCCTCTTCTTCCGGGTTCCTCACTGTTTGATTAGCGGCAATTCGGGTCCCAGGGATTGGGCGGATAGTAGATCTTCTAAATTTGGATCCCATCCTCATGCTTCACAAATCCATACTCATAGCATTCCTCTTCAACTACTTATTCTTCGGGTATGCGGATCCCGATGGAAATTGCGGCCGGAAGAGCCCTCTTGTCGATTTGGAGGCCGAGTTCAAAATGGTTCAGCACCAGCTAAGAGGGTATGTGAAAATCATTGATGATTGTTCATTTAGGGTTTCACAATTCGATATGCTTTCTGGGGCCGATGTCCATTGGTGGGGTGCAATCGGTTCTGATTTCGAAAACTTCACTGCGGGATTCATCGTGTCTGATCATAAATTGAACGATACTTATAAGAATGCTAGCTTTGTCGTGCGTCTGATGAAGAATATTACATGGGATATGATCCAGGTTCTGGCTGTGTGGGATATCCCCACTGCCTCCGATTTTGGGCATGTCATGCTTGGGGAGTTGATGAATGGTACTGCGATTTCTTCGGGTCCTAGTTTGGCTCCTTCGCCTTCAAGCAACGCCGGTCATGGCGCAGACAAGGGTCGTAATCACACGGAGCCAACTATGTTTGAGAACTGTAAGGTGTTATCGAAGGATTTCAGAGTTAGGTGGACGCTAAACGTTAAGGAGGATTTCGTTGATATTGGGTTGGAGGCTGCTACTGGAATTCTAAATTACATGGCATTTGGGTGGGCAGACCCGAATTCTTCTAGTTCGGAACTCATGATTGGAGCTGATGTGGTTGTGACAGGGTTTAAGGAAGATGGCTTTCCATTTGTGGATGACTTTTACATTACCAAGTATAGTGAGTGTATGAACAAGAGCAATGGATCACCGGAAGGGGTTTGTCCTGATTCAGTTTATGAAGCATCGGAAGGGGTTTCTTCAGAAAACAACACAAAGTTAATTTATGGGCATAGGAAGGACGGGGTCTCATTTGTTCGATATCGGAGGCCATTGAGTAAGGTGCAAGAAAAGTATGATCACCCCGTGAACTATACAGCAAATATGACAGTCATCTGGGCTTTGGGATTGATTAAACCCCCTGACTCTATTCGGCCCTACTATCTTCCTCAAAATCATGGGGGACCACCATTTGAGACTTATGGGCATTTGGTATTGAATGTGTCAGAGCATTTGAATGACTGTGTAGGTCCTATTGATGCAGAAGATAAGGAAGATCAAGATATTATCATTGCGGATGCAAAAGTTCCGTTGGTAATTTCGTCAGGCCCAGTATTACATTACCCAAACCCCCCACATCCAGATAAAGTTCTTTACATCAACAAAAAGGAAGCTCCTGTCTTGAGAGTGGAAAGGGGGTTGCCAGTTAAGTTTTCAATACAAGCTGGCCATGATGTTGCACTTTATATTACATCAGATCCAATTGGCGGAAATGCAACGTTGAGGAATTTGACTGAGACTATATATTTTGGGGGCCCTGAAGCCGAAGGAGTTCAAGCCAGTCCCAAAGAGTTAGATTGGGTTCCTGACAGGAACACTCCTGATCATATCTACTATCATTCATTGTTCGAACAGAAGATGGGTTGGAAAGTGGAGGTGGTTGACGGGGGTCTGTCAGACATGTACAATAGCAGTGTTGTTCTGGATGATCAACAGGTAACTTTCTTTTGGACGTTGGCAAAGGATACAATATCTATTGCAGCTCGTGCGGAGAAAAAAAGTGGATATCTTGCAATAGGGTTTGGAACTGGAATGGTAAACAGTTACGCTTATGTAGGTTGGATTGATGAAAATGCTGTTGGTCGTGTAAACACTTATTGGATTGATGGAAAGGATGCCTCACGTATACATCAAACAAACGAGAATTTGACATATGTCAGATGCAAAACAGAAAATGGCATCATTACTTTGGAATTTACACGTCCCTTGAAACCATCTTGTAATCAAGGGAATAGACCAGAATGTAAAAATATTATTGATCCCACCACTCCTCTCCATGTTGTTTGGGCAATGGGTGCTTCATGGGATTATGAACATCTTAGCGAGAGGAATATGCATTCTCTTACTAGCAGTAGGCCTATCCGTGTACTACTGATGCGTGGTTCAGCAGAAGCAGAGCAAGACTTGCTTCCCGTCTTAGCGGTGCATGGGTTTATGATGTTTCTTGCATGGGGTATCCTGCTTCCTGGTGGTATACTGGCAGCCAGATACGCAAAGCATCTTAAGGGCGATTTATGGTACAGGATTCATACTTACATGCAATACTCAGGGTTAGCTATCATTTTACTTGCCCTTCTCTTTGCTGTGGGAGAGCTGCAGGGTTTCTATGTCAGCTCTTTACATGTTAAATTTGGCATTGCTGCATTATGCTTGGCTTGTATACAGCCAGTGAATGCATACCTAAGGCCTCAAAAAACAGGAAATGGGGAGCATGTGCCCCTTAATAGGCTTATTTGGGAATATTTTCACATAATTGTTGGCAGATCTGCCATTGTTGTAGGCATTGCTGCACTGTTTAGTGGGATGAAGCATCTTGGAGACAGGTATGGCGCTGAAAATATTCATGGGCTCAATTGGGCTTTGGCTATTTGGTTCTTAACCTTTGCACTCATGGTTGCCTACCTGGAATACCGTGAAAGGGAGCTAAAAAGGAATCATATATTTGGAAGAAGCAACTGGGTGTTTGGTAATCTTGAGTCAGACGATTCTCTTGATCTCTTGAGCCCAAGCAGGACAATTGCTGAGGAAGGTTTAGATTCATCTTCAAGAATGGAAGTACAGTTAGAACCTTTGAGAAGATAGATGATTGTCTGGTAGCGAGATGCTGTTTTATGCCAAGTTTGGCATATTCTCATTTAATATATGGCCTGGCAGGATCCTTCATTTGCTCGGAGGCTTTTTTGTTTCGAAATCTCTTTTGAGGTACAATTGGAGGCAATGGATATTTAGTCTCTTAGTTCGATAGATTCTGTATTGTGTGAAGAGTAGCATTCCTACAACATGGATTTCCAATAGATAATATATCTTCAATTAAATAGATTTCATTACTTTTCTATCTAGTTGCTGCAATTTTCTCTTCTTGGCACTACTTGAAATTTCTCATATAATATGTGGGCCGACAGGACTCCTCTTTGCTTGAAAGCTTCTTTTTTAATAGAAAGAAAAAGGAAAATCTGTCCCGACTTACATTGGGAGGCAGATGCTCTTTAGTCTCTGTTCTACCCGGGTGTTGCATTCTGTGAAGAGTAGCTTTCCAACATGTATTTCTTTTAGTCAATACATCTCCAGAGAAAGTGGTTATATGATTTGTCTACTCTAGCTGTCCCCGTCTTATTTCCTTTCCTTTCCTTTTCTCGTTCTTTTTTTTTTTTTTTTAAACTCATAAAAATGACAGAAACTGCACTTTACAGAAAAGTTTCTTGTGCGTCACAATGGGTCTTGAATGATTTGTTTGATAGTATCCTCCATGTCGTTGAGGCATGGAAAGCAATTTAGCAAAAAGTATAATTGTAGATGCAGGGAGTAAAATATAATAGTAGACCGTTCTTGTCATCCATGGTAACACTTGATATCAGAGTCAATGCAATTGCATTTTTCTTCTTTGGATGTCATGTGCTATCAGTCCCAGTGAACACAGGAGCTGAAGAAAATTAACTGTAATCTTGAGTGGCTACAGCTTATAAATCAATACAAAGGAATCTACATCAGTTCTAACTTTGTGGCATTGAATATAAATGGCCGCGCATACGGACCTTCTTTCACTATATGGAACTCGTACAACCAGTGATTAAGGACCAGAGCACCTTGTAGAATTCTTTAATCTGATTTAATATAGTAGAATTGATGGAAATTTATTATCTTTTCTTTTGCTGAAAATTATCTGGTGTTTCAGTTTATCAATTGCGAAACCATTGAGAAAGATACGCATTTTTTTATGCACAGAAAGATACCTATGCTAACATGTGACTTTGTATCCCTACAGAATTTCTCAGATATACTTAAATTCCAATATTTGTTTCAATCAGCGATCAATGTGGCTAGCTTTGGCCTAGGTGGTTCACACTTGTGAAGAAACTGTTGCACCTAGGACTAAGGACCGATGCCCTCTGTGATGTTGTAGGTGCTCCCATCAACAAAATCAGGAATTTTTCAACTCATCGGACTGGATGTTTCTATTTGGAGATAACTGGAAGATCGTTTCTTCTTTTCAAGTCTAAATGTATGCCTGCGTTTGACTGGAGAAGGGCACTTTACTGGCTGACATCTGACATTCTATGCCTCCTTCCTTGCCTCAAGACCGCATGATAAGCATTTTGTCTTGAGGGTTAATACAAGTAAGAGTTGTAAAACCATGTTATTACTTGAGCTCTTATTGTATTGAACACTACTATGTTTTGAATTAAGCCATAGCTTAATTGAGTAATAAAACATGTTTCTTGGTGCTGCCTTGCCTATTCACATATGCTTCTTGGAGACGGGGGCTAGTTTTGATGCTCTAGGTGTTTCCACTTGCAAGGGCTTTGCTCTGGTTGAGTACAATAGTAACTGTTCTGTTTGAGTCAGATCTTTCGTTATTCCTCCGAAAATGTTGTGCCATAAATTTGATGTAACATATTCTGAGCCATTAAATGCTTGCTTTCTGGCTTCCTCTTGTTATGAGTTGTTTAATCTGAGCTTTACAGTGATGTCTCCCATTTAGAAGCAAAGATTGAAACGGCCTGTTTGTTTCAATATTCCGATATTGTCTCTGCTTTCTGGGTCTTTAAAAATCAAGTATCATGGCCTCGTTACCCATGTTTCCTGGAGAGAGAAAACCAAGTCAAATATGCATGAACAAATGATAGTATGTCATGTTATTCATTTCATTTCAGGCTTTGCATATAAATAAAAAGAAAATTAGTCAGTAAATTCCTGTAATTTTATCTGATTTTCCCCTGATTCTAATCAGTTCTGTATGGAGTAAATTTAAGGACAAGGGTCTGTGATTTGGTTAATAGTAGGTTGAATTTGAGGGGATGTATCTGGTTAGAGTGTAGAGGGGCTCAAAGATCGAAACAAGGAATTGTATTTATTTCATTAGAAAAGGGTTTTGTAGGAGTTAATTAGGACAGCATTAGTTGCAGAGGTTAGAATAGGGCATAGTCATAGAGGTGTAGGACACGTAAGTCTAGGTGCCCTACTCGCTGTCTAGCTCCAAGTTCCAGTGCATGCCCCTCTCACGTGATTCCCCCTGCGACGCCGTCTTGGGTCTCAACTTCGCAGTTCCCACACTCCTCTCTGCCACCCAAAAATTGCACAACTTATTCCCACTTTGTCATATATTTATATCACCTCCCCCACTTAATCCATTCAGGTTACTTTCTTTGCTCCCTCGTCCCATTACAAATTTTTCTTCTTGTATTTTGTGATCACTTAATTCTCTTCATTCTTATTTATAGCTGTAGATTTGATTTTTATTTTGTCTTTAAATATAGAAGAAAAAAAAGAAATTAAAAATTACTAAATGTCAAATAAGAAATATCAATAAAAATTTGTGGTCATTTGTAAATTCAGTGTTATTAACATCAAATAAAATGTTGTTGTCAAACCTAATTTGGAATTTGTTAATTTTTAACTTCTTTTTTTGTTAAATATATAAATTATTATCCAACATTTTGGTTATAATTTATAAGGATAGGGAAGTATAAGTTTAAGGAATATAATTATTTTGAATTAGAAATATACACACACACTCCATTCAATTCGTAATATCAATCACTTTAATTGATTTATTAGAACTAAGAAATGATAGTTAACTCATTAACCTATTTCATACCACTATGTTCTTATTTATAAATTATTTGTACACCAAGCTCGTAAATCCAAAAACGTATTAAATTAATAATTGTTTTCACCTTTTGCCCTTGTTGACGAAGGAATATTAGAAAAACGTGTGAAAAAAGCTCATTAATTACTCTATAAGTGATTTATGCATAAGAATAATTTTTGTTTTACAGATGACTTGTAAATAGAAATAGAGTAGTATTGAAATTTTTTTTCCAACTTCACCTATAATAAATGACAATACAATGAGCTGTATTTAAGTATTAATTATGAAGACAAAATTATAAATAATTTATATTTTGGTCATGTTTTCCTAGAAATAACTTATGCTGAACTGTGTATATACACACAGGTATGTATGCATGAATATTGAAATCACATGAAGGCACTTTATTGATTTTTTATTTTTATTTTTTTTTGACCAGAGGGCACTTTATTGATTGAACTCTGATGGAGGTGTGAATTTTTGGAAGGGAAAAAGGTGATGGCAGTAATAATGATATGAGGCTGAGCATGTGAATTATTACACTGTTGAGTGACGCACCCGACCATCACCCTCCCTTGCCTTTTCTTTTTTTTTTCTTCTTCTTTTAACTGCTTTTCCTTTTGCTTTTTACCCTTTTTTATTTATAATAACTTCACCCACTCATAGTCATACACGTGGCTTCACTCCTCTCTTTCCCCCTTCTTGCGTCACCAGCGTAACATCTTCCACATTCTTTTATTAAATTATTAGGAACGTTTTCTTTTAGTTTATGCTTTTAAATTTTAGAAAAATCATTATGCAATATATATATAAGCAATTCAATTATTAAAAAATGACTCAACAAGTGAGTAACATGAGCTTATTTGTTGTCATTTTTTTAAATTTTTCATTATATGCTGTTCATTTATTATGAAATTCTTTAGTAATTAAATTATTTATATGAAAATACTACCTTCTGTCCTAATTATAAAAACTCATTTATAGATTATAAATGAGGTCATATAATTAAAACTGGAGGTAGTATATAATGATTTTTTCCTTACGAGTTTCATTAATATATCCTATGTTGCTCTAAACTCATTCAACTGAGTCTTAAAATGCCAAGTCCACTAAGTTCAACAGAGTAAATTTTACCAAATTTAGTCAACTTAATTTTTTATTGTTAAAAATATTTTTAGCCATCTTTTTTGTATAAATGTATAATTTTACCCTTCACTTATTATTGTGTTGACTCTACATGAAATGTAATACATATTAAACAGGGATGAAATTGGAAATTTGTTGAATTTTAAATTAGAATTAATAAAATTTAAAATTTTTCTTGATCTGTGTAAAATATATTAGAAGTGATTTATAAATAAGATTAAAAAAGTACAGAGGAGTACATAATAAACTAAACAAGTTAGCTTTTGGTTAAACAAGTTAGCTTTTGGTTAAACAAGTTAGCTTTTGGTTTTTTTTTTTTTAAAAAAAGACTCATCCAGACATTAATACTAACAATTTATTTAGCCTCTTTTTTTTTTCTAGAGAATTATTATTTATGTTCAAAACTCTGTTCCATAAGCTGGTTCGTGAGAGTAGGAATGAATTAAAAAATTAAAATATGAAGCTGTACTGCGTGCATTTTGAGATTATTAATTAAAGAAGGACGCCATTACAGATCAAAGTGTTGATAAAATAATATAATTGTGGCAGTACATATTTAATTAAATGTGGTCATGGAGCTAACCAATTTTGGGAAAAGGCAAAGAGTGTGAGGATTTAGTAGACAGGTTTCATTATGTCGGTTGATAATGAAGTCAACTAATTTAAATAATTTGTACGACTACGTATTAGGAATCAACGTGGGTGTCTCCATGCATTGAGATTATATATTCGCAGACTTATTTGAAAAATGAAATCGGTTCTTAACCACATTAATAATATAATAATCATAGTATTAGACATCAATGTGATCGTAATAATAGTCCCATGTTTTGTCGTTTTGTAACCAAACTAAGTTAAGAAATCTTAGATTAATTCCTTCCAGAGTACTTGAATCAATTGGTATTAGTTGTTTCAACAATTCAACTTAATCAAAAGGTCACGGATTAGCTTAGTTGGTAATTTCCTAAAGGGTTGGCTACGAAAAAAGAATCGATAAAAGAAAGAACAAGTGCGAAAATAGAGATGACAAAATGTGTAAAGGAAAAAATGAGATAATTAAAGTTGAGAAATTGTTAGAGTAGAAAAGTGAATTAAAATAATGTGTAAAATTTTACTCTTTTTTTTTTTTGAAAAATACAACACTCAACTATTTACCATTTTAATATTCTAAGTTCAAGACTTGAAGTGGTCTAGTAGTAAGCTCACAAACGCTTTGATTCTTGCATAAATTAGCTCACAAATACTTTAACTAAGCTCTTAGAAATACTCAAAAAAATATCGAAATAAAACAAGACATGGGCTTATGAAAGATGGATATGTCATAATATGATGTAATAGCTTTGATTTTTAATATAAGAGCTTGTTTGATTTTTATTTTGATCATAAATATAAAACTTCAATCTATATTATCTTTTATATTTATTCACTTTTTTTTAAAATAGTCCTTATAATAATGGTAGTTCTAATTAACACTTTTGATTAGCGAGGATATTTTAAGAAAAACATATATATTTATTAGAAATAACTAACTTGATTAATTTTTTTAATCTACTCAAATTAATCAACTAGCTCTTATATTAAGAATCGGAATTAGTATCATTTATCATTTTTTTTACTTTGTAGTACTGCTTTTGGCCCTTAATATAAGAGTTATTTGACTTTTAATCTGGTTCTAAATATAAGATTCTAATATACTATTTTTCTCATATTTATTCATTTTTTTCTCAGGGCAATCCTTGTTGTAATGATAACTCTAGTTAATACACTTGATTAATAAGGATATTTTAGGAAAGACAATACCTATTTATTACAAATAATTAACTTAATTAATTTTTAATCTATTTTAATTAGTTAACTTGTTCTTATGTCAAGGATCAAAGCTAGTATATTGGTAAATATTTTTAAAAAAATAAAACCGGTGGCAAAGGGGAAAAAAAAGGTGCATTATTTGCCATAGCTTGGTCAACCTTCTACAGTATAGACGTGGGACATTGAGAACATGCTGTCACGAGGCTTGTAATTTTGATGAGTCACAATTTCAAAGAAAGTCCCATCATATTGGTTTTAAATATAAGTATTTTAAATTATACGGCCAAGTAGTTATCCAGTAACTCATCGTGAAAGTGATTTTACAACTTTAAGGATAAAGTTATTATTGTCACATTATTTTGGTCAAAACGTACATAACATTTTAATGAAATAACCAGTACTCTTCAAGACCCTTCATTCCAAGTTCCAACACACTTCTCTCGTCCTATTTATTTATAGAGTATAAAGATAATTTTTTTTTGTTTTGAATATAAAATCTCATTAAATTTACATAACCATATAATTTGATTCCTAATTTATTGTTTTGTAAACTATGAAAAAATACTATATATACACATACATACGTATTAAATATGAGTAATAAATTAAAGTTGAAAAGTTATAAAATTCTCAAAAAAAATTAATGAGATTTAAAGTTTTTTTTAATTCCAATAAAACATGTTTAAAGCTTCTTATAAATAAGATTAAAAGAATAATTAACTAAAGACCACTCAACGCTACAACAATTGAGTCAAAAGTTCCATTTGAGTCTTGCCAATATAATAATATTGTCTCCGATTCTTAATATAAAAACTAGTTGAATGTCAGACTTAGTTCTGAATATAAAATCTTAATCCATTTTATAAGTCAAAATTTATGTTTTTTCCCAATCATGCCTCTATTGATTGTAAAAAATTCTCACCAAAAAATAATCCTAATATACATGATTTAATAAGATAGTTTATTGAAGCCAGCACATATCCGTTATCAATATCTAAGTTAACTATTTTTTTTAATATTTTCAAATTCCCTATTTAACTCTTATTAATTGTTTTCGTCTTCTGGTGACACACGAGTGAAAAAGGCTTCACACAGTCATGCAATGGAAGAAGAAGGCATATATAGTGAAATGATGTCCTTTTTGTTTTTGTCTGAGAATATAAACAGTTGATCCCACTAACTTGTGTTTGCCCCTATATAACAAAATCATGCCCTTATGGATTGGCTTTCCAACAATTCATCACCATCAGATCATATACTAGTGATCCGATCTTTAATATAAAATTTATTTAACTAATTTGAATAGATTAAAAAAGTTAAACAAGTTACTTAATTATAAAAAATATGACATGTTTTTTCTAAAATATCATAATCATCTTTTTTAATATTCTTTCTCCTTCACTTATTTGATTATGGTTGGAAGAGTATCTATAAGGGTAATTTAAAAAAAATTAATAAATATGTGAAATAAATTTTATATTTAAGATCAAAATTAATTTAATAATTAGGTCATATATTAAGAATCGGAGGAGTATAATAATAATTTTCCATTACAACTTCTTGCATTTTTGAAAATATCTTAGTGTTGTAATTTGGCATAATATTAAATTTAATTATATGTGTTTGTGGAAATGGTGGAGACGTGGCAAGAGATAACTGGGTGGAGGCAAAGAGAAAGAGAAACAGGAGCAGAGGGGAGACAAAGGCTTTAAAAGGCTTTGCCTGGTTGGCAGGATGTCACATGGCCACCCCTTCCTCGTCTTCTTCCTCTTTCCTTTTTCTTTCTTTCCTCTAATTTAATTTAATTTATAATTAGCTTATCAAAAAATAATTTATGATCAAAATGGGTAAATCTGCTGAAGAAATATTCCTTCGTACGCAACCAACAATAAAAAATTTTCGAAAAGTACGATAATACACATGAAGTTTCTTTTTTTTTTTTAAAACCAAAAATGAAGCTTCTCAAATAAAGTAAAAATATTTACTTTGTTGTATAGTTTTTTTAAGTAACAAACATAGCATTTTTGCTCTCTGCTTTAAAATATTCATGTATACCATTACATTGATAAAAATTTTATGATATGAGATACGAACAGGGAATATTTCATAACCATCTTGCATGTTAACTCTTTAATTTATATATGTATGCACATATTAACAATAAATATTTGAGACATAGTAGATTGAAATATTATATTTAAAATTAAATTAAATTTTTAATTGGTTTTTATAATAAGAATCGGAATTAGTAATTGAATAAATATCTCTTACTTACAATTTATTATAAATAAGTTAAAATAGCTCCACGTCTAATTTTAACATGTATATATTTGTTTATTGTACATATTCAATATTGCCTTTCAATCAAATAATGACACTTTGTCCCCAAAAAAAAAAAAATCAAAACAATTACATGTATTATTATTTTTCTACTATTTCTCCGTCTTTTTCAACAAGACGTGCGCGGCTTCTATTTGACATTTTGGCACCAGAGCACGTAACGTAAAGCCTATCCACTTAATAAGCCAACCATAATACTACTTCCGGTTCTATTGATAAGACTTCGTTTGTATAATAAGCTGGTAATACAAGTTAGGTCTACAGATCAAATTTCCCTCAAAACTAAAGGATTTGATTTGTAAATTGCCAACTCACATCCTTCTCGTCTGAGTTATGCTGTCTTTCAACCCGTATTTTTAACTCTACATAAACCAAGTTGATTTTTTCAAATAAAAATGAATTATAGCAATAATTTAATATTCAAGTTCAAAATTTACAGTTGGCCACAAACAGTTCAAATTTACACCAGGTCGGTGCATGTTCCAGAAGGATAATAAAATATTTAGAGGGAAAAAAGCACTTTGGTTAGTATATATCTGGATGATGGACCCACAAGTGGAACAATTTCTAAGCTGGAACAGGAAAGATTGTACCTTTAGGGATTCTGATCAATATATAATTAAGTAATTATCACACTAATATAATGAAAACATCGAGGTTTGTGTAAACTAAACTAAAAAGCTCACTGGTGTTTATTTAGTCAAAAGCGAAACGGAATTTGAGGGGAAGATTTTTCACACGCAAGAAGAAGAAAAAGAAGAATTTATTAGGAAGTTTGAAGGGTCAAAACCTACAAGAACCTTAAATTATTCTAATGCATGCACACACACATGTTGGTTGTGGTAGCAGTAGCTGTTAATAATAATAACAATAATAATAGAATATAGTGGTTGAACTTTCTAGCGCACTTCCCAATAAGTTGAACAAAATTATTGAGCCTTTTTATTTATTATACGTGTTTCGCAGGATCATGATTCCTAGTTCCTTCCAATTTTCCTCATGAAACAAAACACCAACAACAAAAAGATCCAAACCCTAGTTAATTTCTGACCACCTAACCAACTAGCAGTAGTAGTAGTTCTAACTATACAAAACAAATCTCAAATCCAACCGCTTTTACTTGCTTTAACTTCAGACCTACTATTGCTGCTGCTACTATTATACTGTTCTTTTGTTTTCATAATGGACCTGCTTCCCTATTATATTCCCACCTAAAACCCTAAAAAGGCTCTTATATTATTGTAAGCAAAAGCACCATAGGGTCATGAATGAGGAGGCGATCGCATCAGCACAATACATGTGCGGTTAATGCCATTGTTAAGATTTTAATTACTGTAATTTCAAATTGTTAATTTTGGTCCTATGATTTTGTAAAATTTTTATGAGTTTAACAAATAATTCTTATGCTTTTCACAAGTTTTGATTTTGGTTCTTATAAATTATAGAAACCAGAACTGAAATGACATCAAATTGTAAATATATACTCCTTCAGTCCTAAATGTAAAATCTATTTTGTAACGGGTATTGCATCTAGGACCAGAGGAGTATAAAACAATTTCTAACACTGAATCTTTGGTTGAAAGAATCAAACTTTTTCACCATGCAGGTTTAAAAACATTGGTTGAGTGAATGAATGGTGTTTGTTGATTATTCTAAAAAGGAGGAGACAAGATAAAAAGAAGGGGCGAGTTAAAGAAAGGTCCCAGAAAGGGGTATGATAAGACGGTAGAAAAAGAAAAGGATTAAGTGAAAAGAAGCATTATTTGGTGGAAGGGTATATGGATTCTTGGGTTTTACCATCGGACTAAGATTCCATATATGTACACACTCACGAGTGTGACACATAACGTTTGAAGGAATCAAATCATACGAAAACGTTTTCAAGGTATGAAGTAGCAGCAGCAGACATAGCATTTTACAAGGGGACGTGTCATGGATTATTTCTACTTTAGGTCATTACAGTTTTTACGTGTCAAGTTTAACTATCACTTTTTACGCCTAATCACATGCAGGGTTTTCTAAGCGTTAAAAAGGGACAAGGGGTGAAGTTAAAGCACAGAATCTTTTTCCATAACAAGAAGTTTACTTCTTGCTTTTACCATAATCATCTTGTCTAGGCCTTCCTTATAAGGCAATGACCCCTGCCTCCGTTTTAGCTTTTTTTACGAAGGGCACCCCCACCCTTTTATCATCATCATTGCCTGTGTAGGTATTTAAGCTTTTTTTCACATGTATATAATATATATATTGGAATTAAAATTTCTAACTAGTTCGCTTGAATATTAAAATATGAACTTGCTTTCCTTCCAAAAAAGCAGAGATTACAGCTCGAATATACAAATACGTCACCCGCGAGGTACAAAATCTGGAGGGTGGGCCCTGACGAATACGTGGCGGAAAATTCGCCGGTCGTCGTCGGGTTGATTCGTCAGAAGTAGTCAAACGACGCCGTTGGACGCAGCTGCTGTCTCCTGCCAGTAGTCCTACTTCCCGTTCCCTTCACCTGACCTAACGGCGACGTCTTCTGCCTCCTCGAACCTGGTACCTCTGGTGGCGTCATCATCCGTATCAACGCCAAGTTCAGACCTTTAAAGAACGCGTGCTTCTTCACGTCTGCTGCGCCCCGCTTTGACCCAAGCCTCCGGGTCGGGTCTTTGTGAAGCAAAGAGGAGATGAGGTCACGCGCGTGGTTCTCAAGCGTGCTGGACGGTGTGGGGGTAGGGAAGGTCAGGGGCTTCTTGATGATGCCGCGGAGTGTAGCCTCGTTTGATGGGGCTGCGAACGGTGTTCTCCCGTAAATAAGCTCGTAGATGAATATTCCAAAGGACCACCAGTCGACGGCGTTGCCGTGGGAGTGGCCGGAGGCGACTTCCGGGGAGACGTACTCGTGGGTACCTACGAAGGAGCATGACCGAGCGGATACCGGCTCAGCCACGAAAAGTCGGTTCGGCTGAAGGGTTTGGACCTTGCGGGAACGGAAAACCCGGTTCGGGAGGCACGAAAAGGGACTAGAGTGCGAGCCAGTATACGGCAAGGTATCTGGGAATGCAGGGTCTGGAGAAAAGTCAGAGGATTCAACGGCTGGGATGGCGTCTGAACACATCGAGAGATCAAAATCGGAGAGCATGATATGGCCGTCGGATCTAACCAACACGTTCTCAGGTTTCAGATCTCTGTATATGATTCCCAGCATGTGAAGGTACTCCAATGCCACGAGAACTTCCGCAGCATAAAACCTGGAAAGGAATAATTCCCAGAAATTTATTAGGCACGAAGAAATTTCTCGGAAGCAAAACAGCTATCACCGATGCGAAAATTTAAAAAAGAAAATAAAGGAACTGGTAAACATCATCTCCTTCTGATGGATTGAATCAGAAGGCAAAATGTAGCGCCTGATCTGGTAATGTTGATCAGTGACGGCAAGGTTATTCAAGTTTCTAATAATGGCAAAAAAACACCTTCATTACTGAAAACTTGCGGCTAAGTCAGATTCATAATCTGAGAAAATCCCAGATGCTGAGCAATTAAAAAAATGGCTATATGATGTTCTGAAATTTGATTTTCAAGAAAAGAGACAAAAGAGTGAAGTGGCCATTTCAAAGGGTGATGCAGGCGAGAAAATAACAAGGCGATAGATGATGAAGCAGAAAAGGCCAAAATAGAGACAGAAACAGAATGGGTCTGGATATGAAAGAGAACAAAATTGTGCAGAACGAAACGCTATCGTTTAAGCAGCTGTGTCTACCTTGCAGAGGAAAGAGGGAATCGCTTCTGAGGCTGTCTATGGCGTAGGGAGTGCAAGTCCCCACCAGAACAGAACTCCATGACAATGCAAGAGAAGTGTGAGGCCTCGAACTCAGCGTAAAGCGTAGGGAGAAAAGGATGATCCAGCATCTTCAAAATCTTCCTCTCCATCTCCGCCCTCTCAGATTTCTTCTTCAATGCCACCGCGTCTTTGTCCACCACCTTCATGGCGTAGAGGCAGCAACCATCATCCTCACGGCCGACAACAACGTCGTCCTCAGCGCCGGCGACGAACCGATCGTCATCGGCGGCACCGTTGTTGCGCAGCCGGCAGAGGTAGACCGTTCCGATGTCACCGGCACCGATGCGACGGAGGAGATGGAAGTCGCGGAAGGTGAGACCAGTCTTGCGGCGGAACGTGGCAGAGCGTATGGCGGAGTATTCGAAGTCCGACGAGCGATGAGGCTTGAGAGAGAGGCTATCAGGCGAAGCAGGGAGGAGCTCGAAGGAGAGACGGCTGAAACTGGTGCTGCAAATGCTTTCGCTGCTCATGGAACTACGCTGGGTTGAACTGAGAGCCTCCAAACTAACCTCGGAATCACGACCAGAACCAGGAACGTCTAACATGGTAGGAGGAGAGAGAGTTTCAGAAGCCAACAAGCTCTCATAGAATACAAGGAAACTACAGAAAAGGATGCTGAAATCGGGAGAATCGGATATGAAAATCAGAGAGGATCAAACAAACAAGAGCTTTGAATGCGTAGGTTGAAACTTGAAACGTCGTTTATAATAGTCGTTGCAGCTTTACTTTAAAGGGATTTCTGAGCACAAAACTTTGAAAGGATCATAAATCTCTGTTCGTACGAAAACTTCAGAGAGATAGAGAGAGAGAAGGAGGAGGAGGGAAGGAGAGAGAGAAAATTGGGTTTTTGAGAAGAAGAAGGGTGGTTGTGTGGTATTTATGCTGAGGGCGTACGAACGAAGGTAAAACGTGATGTAACAGAGAGGGAAGGGGAGGCACGTGAGAGGGGGATGGCACGTGCGGAGGGGGTGTATTGGGGTTTGAAAAATCGACGGAAGAGATGACGTGGGGGGAGGCACGTGCGGGGGAGGGGAGTCACGTGGCAGAGATTGCTTAGGGGCATAGCTCAAAGCTTTGGGAGAGGAGTGGCGGAGTTACTGGGCGTGTGGGAAAGGGAGAAGCTTTTTCTGCAAAATTCACAGATCGCAAATGACAGAAAGGCCCCTGTAGCTGCAACGTTTCAGTACACCCTCCTGCCATGGTCAACTCCGTCTGACCAGCTAATTAAAACTGATCCAAAAGAAACACTTGCGAGCCGTGACTGCAATATTTTTATTTTTTTATATATAAATTACAAAAATTGCATCACGCCATCACCTTCTACTCCTTTTTTTGACGTTTGGTTTTAACCCAAAAAACAGTCATTTTAAAAAAATATTTTTACACAAATCCAAATAAATTTTTCTTACATGTTTATTTTGTATCTCATAATATTATGGTTTAATTTCTATTTAAATACCCCTTAAAATGGTTCACACGAAGATGTTAAGTGTTTATTTGGAATTGTTTAGCTAAGCATTTTCTTGTAAGTAAGTCTAAACAAAATTGTCATCACATGCTTACAAAAATTGCATTACACTATCAGTTTCTTCTTCTTCTTTTTTTATCGATTGAGTGGTGTTTGGTTTTAACAAAAATTACTTTTAAAAAATATTTTTAGACAGAACTTTTATCACATACTTACTTCATATATTATACAGTTACTTTTAAAATTACAGTTTGGTTTTTATTCAAATACCTTTTAAAATGGCTAACATAAACATGTGAAGTGTTTATTTGAAACTGTTTAATATGAGCATTTTCTTGCAAATAAGTTGAGACAAAATTATCATCACATGTTTATATGATATTTTATAAATTATAATTAAAAAATTACACACAAAATTAAAGATATATAACCTTAAATACACATGTGGTTTAATCATTCATTTAAGAATAAGAATCTCTTCATGAATCTTAGGGGGAAATTGTCAGTCAGACTAGATCAAATAAGAATATAAAATTGTCTCACCTGAAAAGAATTTGACAGACAAAAAATTTCATTAGCCAATGTCTATGCTTATAAACAGTACCACTCACTGAATGAAGAACACAATTAAATTTTAACGTGTGAGTCACCTAAGCTTACTTCAAAATGATGAGCATAAATATAAAGTGGAGTAAATTTATTTTAAAAGTTTTTACTCAGAATATTAAGAATTCAAAAAAAATTTGGGTGCAAATTTTTCTTCAAAATATTAACAGTAGTTTTACTGTTTTAATGATTCAGGTTTTTTTTTTGGATAATAGGGCATAATATTATTATGATTTTAAATTTTTAGATAAAATTTGTACCAACAAATTTTCTTGAGTGCTTGGTACTCTATTGAGTAAAAACTTCCTGGCAAATATACAAATCAATCCATATAAGTGGAAGGTGAAGGTGGATAATGGGAAACAAGAGGGCGAGGTATAGACAAAGTTTTACAATAAGTGAACAGGAAGAAGGGGAACACAAATAGTAGAGGGAAGGGACAATGATTGAAGGAACAAGAGCCACAAATGGCGTGTTTGGAATCAAGCTAATAGGGCTTTCATACACAGTCTAATCAGATGAAATGAAAAGAGATGGGGAGGAGGGAATGAATGACAATATAATGCCTGTGGATGCAGAGACAGGACGGTGAGAATGTTCATCCAAACAAGCCATCTACTCTTCCTCCCACGTAACTATTTTCCCTCTGCCCTCACACGCATTAACTAATAACCCTCTCTTTGTTCCCCAGCCAAAATAGTAACCTTACATAGCTCCTACGTTCTTCCTATCTGCTCTGTCTATATCAGCTTGAAAACTGCCCACTTGATCCGCTCTTGTCCCATTATTAATCCCAATGCATTTATCATACGAGTTGCCACTGAGTAGTTGCAATTTGCTCTTATCACTTCTCATTAAATTGTTGCTTCATCTCTATTGTGAATAGGAGTTGAACGAAAAAAAATCTCATTCAAAAATATTACTCCCTCCGTTTGTTATTATAAGAGACACTTGATGCTTATGCCATGTTCCTATATATAAGAGACACTTACAAGTTGTTTCTACTTTTTTGTGTTGATTTATTATTTTACCCATATTTATTATCTCCAACTCACACTCTCTCTCCCTTCCACTTCTCTTTCTTTTAATAATTTAATTGTTCTCTCTCATGCTCTCTCTCCTTATTAATGAGAGCATTTTTGGAAAAAAAATTATACTTTTTATACATTAATTGTTCTTAACTAACTTTAACTGTTTTTTTGATCAACGTATTTCGGTTATTTATCTCTTATAATAAGGAACGGAGGGAGTATTCTATAAGAAGGCATAGCCCTTTAATTCACACTTGCAAGGCCTCCTCTTTCATCCCACTCTAGAGATCAGAGTTGATGTCTTCTGCGGCTCTATATTATGACACTTCACTCAATTTCCTATTAAATGACTATCATGCGCGTGAGATCGACACCATGACACACCACTTAATGGATGTTTAGTTTACCCAAAAACACTTTAAAAAGGTATTTTTATAAAAATCGAGACAAAATTTTTTTTATATATTTACTTCGTATACTGTAAAATTACTTTTAAAATTATTATTTGGTTTTTATTTAAAATTTTCTATAAGTAGCTCTCTCCCTTACTACTAGATTCTCATTGAAAGCAACTTTATTATAACCAAGTTGAAAGAAATAGAATAATTTTCAAAAACTAGCCTATTTCCTGACTTACAAACCACACTATACCTACACTAGTGAGACTAACACGTCCAAATCCAATCAGTCTTGAGTGCACTACCAAAGACCGACACGTTTTGAGGTGGGGGTGATAGAGAAATATCGGATTGGGTGGGTTTTTTCATATTACTATATGACATCTACTATTCCTCCGGTTCTTAATATAAGACTTATTTAATTAATTTGATTAGATTAAGAAAGTTAGATAAGTTAGTTAGTTATAAAAAATATAACGTATTTTTCCTAAAACACCGTAATCATCTTCTTTAATATCCTCCTTTCCTCTTCTACTTGATTATGGTTGAGAGAGTATCTAAAGGGATAATTTAGAAAAAATTAATAAATATAAAAAATAGGTTTTATATTTAGGACCAAAATCAATTCAACAACCAGATCCTATATTAAGGATTGAAGGAGTATCAGATAGTTTTTATATGCACACACATTGACACAGATTTTGAAATTCTTAATTTGAAAAATGAATGGCAGGTGAAAAGGAAAAAAAGAATGCTCCTTGATCAACAAAGTTTGGAAGCCTCAAATTGCCAAGACAAATATAGCCTTAATTATGTAGAATCAAAGCTGCGTTGTTGTATATATGCATGTGATGATACATGGATTACCTCAAATCACTATCAGATCTTAGTTTTTGTTGAGTGAAGAGAAATATATAAATACACGGAAATAAATCACATTTATGTGTATATAAATCTCTCAAAAGTATGGCCCCCTATTGCTTCCCTCTATTTTACAAGTTAAGGTCAATTTAGAGATTCAAATTATAATTAGCACATGGGATTATATATGACAGAAGAATAGTCATGCTGATTAGGCATTGATTCCAGTCTTTTTCAACCCATCTAGGGTTGTTTGTGGCAAATTGCAAACATAATTTTGCATTTTATGAGATAAAACTAATTTCATAATATTATTTTCATCAACATCATATGTTTTGACCAAATTCAACCCATCTCTAAACCCATATATGTATACTTAACCAATCAATATATTCCCTCTCCACAAGGTCAGAATTTCCAAACGCACATTTAGCCAACTAATATATTCCCTCTCCATGGGTCCTTTCCTTTTAATTCTCTCCCTTTTCTCTTCTTCTTCTTCTTGTTTTTTTTTTTTTTGGGTCAAAATGCCTCAGAATACAAACCTTCGCTTCTTCCCTTTTCTTGTCTCTGACCTTTTCCTTTTTCAAATCAGATAGCTCCATGTTATTGCAGATAAATTAACCCTTAAATAACTAATGCAATATTTTATTCGGCTATATCCTTCTTCTCAATTTTATTTATTTATTTATCTCATGTTATCATATCAACTAGCTTTGTTATTATGTCATGATAATATATTTTGCGAAATGATTAGTTTCTGATTTTAATTTTTCTTCTTGTTGTTTATATTTAGCTGAAAAAAAATGCATGAAAATACTAAAAAGAGTAAGAATAATTGATGAGGGTGAAGGTGAGGGCGCTATCACTAAAAAGAGTAGACAAATAATGTTACGGAAAAAGGATGGACAATTATTTTTGTGGTCCTATTTTATCTTTTTTCTTATTCTTCTGCATCATGGCTCTTATCACTCATTACTATCAAATAATTCCGCAATAAAATTTGGATCCATCTCTCCCACCCCTTTATGCTATATAATAAACGTCACATACTAATTCTTCACTTATCCAGACCCAACTTTTGGTTATCTGGTGAATTTGTTTGTTTAAAAGAAAAGCACATTTTTAATTTGTGTCCATCTCTCCCACCCCTTTATGTTACTCGTCCGATCCTTAATATAGGACCCAATTGTTGAGTTGGTTTTGGTCCTAAATATAAGACCTATTTCTCATATTTATCAATTTTCTTTGAATTACCCCTATAGATACTCCTTCAACCATAGTAAAAGAGAAAGAAGATGTATTAAGAAAGATAATTATAGTATTTTAGAAAAAATGTGTCACATTTCTTATAATTAACTAACTTACCTAACTTCCTTAATCTAATCAAATTAGTTAAATAGATCTTATATTAAGGATCAAATGAGTATATAATAAACGTCACATACTAGTTCTTCACTTATCCAGATCCAACTTTTGGTTAT